GAGGTTTTGGCATGTTGAAGAGTATAAAGGTATTGATTAATATATATTCATCGTATTTTCCAATAACCAAAATTTAACCGGTTATTATCTTATTTTCTCTCATTGGATTGAATATTTTACAGGAAAATCATGTCTCATGAATAGGGTTGGATGCTCTAGATTTTATCTTGACCCGGAGTTTGATGAACTTGAGGAAATCAAATAACAGTAATATTCGGTATTTCTAATCATATATTTGTTGCATATACGTAATTCATATGTTTAATGATCTATTACAATTTTATATATAGTACACTCTCCACCGCTTATGCTTGGGCCGCTACGAATTCAAGATGTTCCGATTTGGATGATTGAGTCATCATGGAATTTTCTACAAATATTATCAATGAGTCTTGTGTTGTTATGGGTTTTAAGGAATGTATAATTACTTATTTTTAGAGACAGTATGCTTCATCTTTTGTAATATTATGGTTGAATTTTGAAATCTCATAACTAAAATTTTTATCATCAAAATTTCAATGTTTCCCGTAGTTTTACAATCTTGAAGAGATCAAGGAACGGTAATATACAGGGTTTATCATTATATATAAGATTGGATGTTCGCATTTGTTTCGGATAATAACCTAGCAAGTTTTCTATACATATTACACTCTCTCGATGGCTTTTACTTGGGCTACAAAGAATGCAATATATTCAGAGTCGGATGATTGAATGGGTCATGTAGAAGTTTAAAAAAATGTTTGATTAGTTTGGTGTTCTTATGAGCTATAATTGATGGATAAATCATTTATACTATACACGTTATGTTTGAAATTTGTAATAAGTCGATCGTATTTTAAAGTCAGTAAACCATTTTTAATCTTCATAATTTGAATTTTTTTTTTGAAAAATCAACTTACCGCGCAAGGCACGGGTAACTGCCCTAGTTTACTCATTATTCTGAATTTCTGATTAACATTTTAATAAATATTCAAAAGTCTTGTCTTCTTAATTACACTTTTTTTGAATCGCTTGATAGTGAAATTTTCTGTGAATATAATTTTGAGTATTATTTAATTTTTTAATTTTTAAAAATGATTAGAGCGCATAATTTTTCGTCAGTATATATATCCTCCGGCGAATGCATTTAGTTCTCATCATCCAAATCTCCCTCATTCTCTTTCTCGCTCTAGTTTTCTCGTTGAGAGTCTGTTACTCTGTTTAATTACAAGTTTTTTCCGGGAAAAAGTTTCTAGGGAAAATAGAAGAAAAAAGTCTCAAGAAATATTCATCTTCTTTGATCGCTATTCGCTACGATGAAACGTTTCTTTTGCTGTCTCAAAGGAGGAAGCTCACGTAACGCAGGGCAAGGTAACGACGAGAACGACGAAGTAAACCTTGACCGACCATTTGGGAATAACGAGCGCCTCAATCATCTTTGGAGAAATCATCTCGCACTTCCTGACGATCGTGAAGTTTCAGGTTCCGTTTTCGCTTCTCTTTTGAAATCGAAATCGAGATTTCTTGTTTTCTGGGTTTCTTGTACCTTAAGCAACTCTGTTTTTACGAAGTTTCTTACTTCTTTGTTTTGATCTCGTCACATTCATGCATGTGAAAGTAGTATATTAGTTCTTCTTGTTTCGAAACAAAAGTCTCGATCTTGTGAACTTAAACTGATTCGTTAACGTAACACAAGAAATTGATTTAGGGTTCGATCTTTTAAGTTTTGATGATTCATTTGCAGATCCCACTGCTCGTTTTTTCCCTATATCTCCACCTCTACCTGATAATTGAGGAGTATCATTTCTATGGCGCGAACTCGTAGACGGAACAATAAACTTCCGGGACGAATATTTTCTCGGCAAAGGCAACTTCGGCGAAGTCTATCGCTGCCGTTTCTCAAGACTTAATGAGGTATATAGACCCAAAAGTCATGTCCTTATTATTAAATATGGAAACTACAGTCTGCAACTTTTGATTTCATTAGGATGGAGCCGTGAAGATTCAAAAACCAGACAATCCAACTGGTCATGTTGAGTTCTTGGCAGAGGTTACAACGTTACATGCAGCTAATCACCCAAATGTGATTAGACTTCTTGGCAATTGTTACGGCCAAAGGAACCGTGCTATAGTCTACGAATTCATGCCCAATGGCTGTCTTGAGCCTCACATCTTTGGTAAAGAATACTCAATCAAACCTAATTGATGACTCTGTTTTAGTTTCCGGTTTGTTAATCAACTCCTTGTTTTCTTGTAGCACACGCGACGAGGGTGCAGGGTCAGTTACCTCAGGGTCTACAACTACCAATTAGGGTTTTGGATTGGGATACGAGGATGAGAATTGCTTTGGGTGTAGCCAAGGGTCTGGTTTATCTACACCAGGAGCTGAAAGTGATTAACCGAGATGTCAAAGCCGGAAATATTCTACTTGATGCAAATTTTGTGCCGAAGCTGACTGATTTTGGATTGGCGACTAAAATCGATGTAGATGAAACGGTGTTGAGAAACAGATCCTGATCAATACGATGAAGGGATCTTTGGGATACATTGCACCGGAAGGAGAGATTTCCCGGTTGGTTTCGACTAAGACTGATGTCTATAGCTATGGAGCTCTTCTTTTAGTGCTTTTCACCGGAAGGCAGCCTTTTTATTCGAAGAAACCTGTTGGGAAAAAGAATCTCACTGACTGGGTATGACTCAAACTTTTGTGTCTAGGACTTTTTCATACGTTTCGTGTTCTGCAAGTTAATATATAAACTGAGTTTTGTTTGGATGTTTTTTTTTTTGCAGTTTATAAGAGTATGGCCTAGATTAGAGGATGCGCCTGTGCAAGTTGATGTTGCGCTCGGTTATAGGTATTCGGTTGAAGGTTTAAAGAAGATATTTGATACTGCCAGGATGTGTATAAAGGCAGAGCCACTTGAACGGCCTACCATGAGTGATGTGGAAGCAATGGTTCTCAAAGCTGCATCTTTCCCGGTCCAAGTGCCGCCACCCCAGGTGAAAAGGAGGCGTTCGGCTTCGACATATGAAGTTTTCTCAGGCGGTTTTTAGTAGGCTTTTTATTTTGGTGTTTGGTTTTTCGGAAACATATTATAGACTTGGTTTTGTTACTGGTTTTCCGATTTAAGATGAGATCAGGTTGTGAACTTTTTGAGATGGTTTTGTTAATTAGCTTTTGAGATCTTTTGTCTTCATTCTCTGTTATGAAACTTCTTAAAATAGGAGTGGACTGGAGAGGAAAAAAGCAGAGCATAAGTGTTCTTATTGGAATTTTGTTAGATGCTAAGTCTTTCAAATTTATCTCTTTGATTCTGCAACTTATAAAAGTCACGTTTTGAAAGGGCTTGACTCTTGATCATATATACCACGAGAAGCTTTATTTATGATTTGAATCAGCAGTCTCTAGTGATAGTGAACGGTTAGCACAAAAAGAGAAGCTGCTTTACTGAAGTTTCACCTTTAAGAGCCATGTTTTGAGAAAAAAAAAAAAAAGCCATCTCTAAAGAAGCTTAAGCTCTCTGTTTCTTGAGACGAAAGTTATCGCCTTAAACATGGAGTAATTTGCCTTTAGGAAATGACAACATTTGAGCAACAAATTTGGTATAAAAGAGAGATTCTCTTGGAAGATGTGAAGAACAAAACAATAGTTTCGGAAATTGGCATTGTCTCTCTAACATGAGATTCTCTTCAATAGCCTTTATTTTGGATTCAGTGGATATAGTCTGTCAATATATTTTTGGGAGATTTACTCAGATGTTATACATTTTATATGAAATTACCAGAAAAATACAGATCTTTTTTTATTACTATCATATTTCGGGTATATTTTTTATACCCAGCGTGCCCCTGTCAAACGTTACAGGAAAAAACGTAATTACAAAGAATACCACTGCCACGTCAGCAAAGCCGCGTCGCCACGTCAGAAATCGCTGACGTGTATTAATGAACTCAGCCGTCGAGCGATATAGCGGCAGTGACAGCTGAGTTACGGTATGTTGCGGCTGATTTAAGAAAAATGGCTGAGTTATGAGCAAACGGCTGACTTACGAGTATAACCCAGCCTGGAGTTACGGCTGACTTACTGAAATCTGTCTGAGTTATGATAAAATGGCTGACTTTCGAGCATAACCCAGCCTAAGTTACGGCTGAGTTTTCACCCGATGGTTGATTTGTCAAATTTTTGGCTGAGTTATTGCTTCGACACGGCTGACTTAACTTTCTCCGGCTGGCTGAGTTATCAAAGACGGCTTAGTTATGGGATAACGTTACGGCTGATTTATATTCGAGTATCATAAATCAGCCGTAATGAGCTGGATTAACGGAAAACTCGGCCTTACTATGGCTGACTTAGTAGCGAAAGATTAATTACTAGAATAGCATGCAATGACGGCCGACTTATTAAACGACACGACTGAGTTAAATATTTTTGGTTGAGTTACGACAGTAAACGGCTGAATTTGGCTGCCGTTTTTTCGTTTTTTAATTACTGCAATAGTATTCATGTTGCGGCTGAGATAAAGTTTTGTTTGATGGCTGGTTTAATTAAGCTGATTTACATTTTCATTTGGTGGCTTACTTGCCACTTCATCAATTAAAAAATGACGTGGATGCAACATTCCATGTCATCATCATCAAAGGACAAAAAAATAGGGCCAAATTTTTTCAACTCGTCTTCTTCACCTGAGTTTATCACATCACCGGTGTAAAGATTTAAGTTGGAAATGTTGAGAAAACCATGATTGAAGATTGAGAGAAAGAGATAATGTATTGATGAGAAAAGTTTTGTTACTTTAAAAACATTACAATGGTGGCTACAACCTTTATATATAAAGGAGATTACGTTAAAATGACCTAGAGGAAACCACCGGGTCTCAGCCAGGCGGGTGTCTCAGACAGGCGGGTTTATACTTGTCCCTGCCAGTTTGGATCTCTTTGCCTAGCCAGGCGGGTGTCTCAGCCCGGCGGTTTCTCAATATAAGTAACTTGTGTTAAATATCTAACTATTGATTTAGTTAGTATTAAACACCTTCTTGATTAACACTCCCCCTCAAGTTTATACTACAATATTCATTGGTATAAACTTGACACTTATGCTAGTAACCTCATTAAAAACCTAAGATCGGAAAACCACGTGGGACAAAACCGATCTTAGGGAAAAAGAGTATTACTGACATAAGTGGAGAGGTATCTCAAGGATGTGTGAGGTCTACAAGCCCAAGTTTGCCATGGATAAATTCGCAAACTTGGGTACTTGCTGCCTTGGTGAATATATCGGCCAATTGTTCCGAGCTCTTGGTGTAACAAGGTAAGATAGTACCATCTTCGATCTTCTCCCGAGTCTTGTGGCAGTCCGTCTCTATATGCTTGGTCCTCTCGTGGAACACGGGGTTAGTAGCAATATGGATGGCTGCTTGATTGTCACAATGGAAAGTGATTGGCGTCTTTTGCTCGATCCCAAAGTCCTTTAGTAGAGCCTTTAGCCATGTTAACTCATTAGTGAGCTTCTTCATAGCCCTATACTCCGCTTCAGCACTCGAACAAGACACCACCTTCTGTTTCTTTGTCTTCCAAGTCACGAGATTCCCACCAATAAATGTGCAAAAGCCGGTTGTTGATTGTCTTGTATTGCGATCTCCATTATAATCCGCATCACAATATCCAACAATCTCCGTGCTTGAGTTCTTTCCCATCCAAATTCCTTGGCCGGGGGTCCCTTTGAGATACTTTAGAATCCTATCCACCATACTCCAATGGTAGACCGTAGGCTCTTTCATGTGTTGGCTCACCTGATTCACGGCAAAAGATATGTCAGGCCGAGTATAAGTCAAATATATCAACTTACCCACAAGTCTTCTATATTGCTCCGGGCAATGATATGGTCTATCATCCTTCTCCCCCTTTCGATTGACCTTATATCCTGGCTCTAATGGTGTTGAAACCGGTTTGGCTCCAAGATTTCTTGTAAGCTTAAGAAGATCGAGTGTATATTTCCTTTGTGAGAGAAATAAACCCTCCGGCGATCTACACACTTCGATACCTAAAAAGTATTTCAACACACCTAGATCTTTAATGTCAAACGTAGAGTGTAAAGAAGCTTTGATAGATTTAATACCTTCCTTGTTACTCCCCGAGATGATCAAGTCATTAACATAGATCAAAACAACTACAATGCCTTGATCATTTTGGAGAGTAAACAAGGTGTGATCGGATTCTGACTTTTTGAATCCATTGGCCTTCAATGTGGAGCTCAATTTGTGATACCAAGCTCTTGGAGATTGTTTTAGACCGTAAATGGCTTTGCGAAGTCTCAACACCTTTCCCGGAGCTACCGTGTCTTCTAGACCCGGAGGAGGAGTCATATAGACTTCTTCTTCTAGCTCTCCTTGTAGAAATGCGTTCTTAACGTCCATTTGCCATAACTCCCAATCCAAGTTAGTAGCCAAAGAGAGAACCACTTTCACCGTATGTTGTTTGGCTACCGGAGCAAATGTCTCACGATAGTCCTCACCATAAGTTTGTGTAAACCCTCTTGCAACTAATCTTGCCTTGTATCTCTCAATTTCTCCATTACTCTTGTACTTAATGGTAAACACCCATTTTGAACTCACACATTTCTTCCCTTTTGGTAGTTCTTCTTCATCCCATGTATGATTCCTTGTCATTGCTTGAACTTCATCATCAACCGCATTAGTCCACTCCTTTATTCCCTTAGCTTCCTCATAACTTTGTGGTACAAACTCCACATCTAGCTTACTAAGAAATGCCTTATGTTCTTCGGGAAGAAGGTCAATCGAACATGTTGCTTGAATTGGATGAGCCACGGCTTGGAAATTATAGAGGCACGTCTTTGATTTCCTCTCTCTTGTACCCCTTCTTGGATTCTCCCGAGTGTAGATTGGATCTCGTGTTACTGGTGGAGCTTGATAAGTCTCATCTCCGCTTGATGATTCAATAATTTCACCTTCACTAGATGGATCTTCCTCTTCCACTTCTTCACTTAACCTGTGGATGTCGGATTCACACACTCAAGTATTTTATTAGGTAGGAAAGATTATTCTTGAGGGACAAAATGAATACGTAAAAGTTTGTAAATTGCTGCGGAAATTGCTATAGTATTTCTTTCTTGAGAGGAAGATCCCCCTTACATGGCCATTGGCCTTTATATTTATACTTAGAGAAACGACATTAAAATGAGTAATTAAGTACAATTATTCCTTCTTAAATGTGTCCGTTTTGATTCCTTGACTTTAATGCTCAACGTTTGAATTTGAGTTGACTCTGATCTTCGTGGGCCTCGCCTTTTCGGCCCAAGTGTCCTTGAACCATCTTATCCATGCCTTCTACATCGAACTCATATCACAATGCAATCACTTCGGATTCTCGAAGTGGTGACAACCACTTCGACCTTTCCTTCGGCTCATGGGTCTGATGGGCTTCATTCTTTATGGTCCATTATCTTGACTACGTGGCAATCTTTGGTTGGTCTCGTACTTCTGGTGCGGGATCCGACACCAACAATTAGCCCCCCAACTTCTTCGAAGTGCCATTCCAATTCGGAGGACTTTAAATGCTCAAGTGGCCAAAGATTGCGCTCGAGAATCTTTCTGATTTCCCGCCGAAAATCTCATCAGTCCTTTAATTTCGGCACTAGCCTTTTTTAACTGAGTGACATCTGTCATCATTATGACCGTATATTGTTTAATTACTATTAAAACGGGAAAAACCTTCTCACTTCCCACACAACTTCCGAGGCGGTTTCATCATTAGCTTGAGGTAACTTCTTTTCACCATTACTCTCTTCCTTTACTTTTGCGCTTTAATCAAAACCTCTCTCTATTTTTCTTCACAAAACCTCTCTTCGCCGGATCTTGAATTTTTCATTTTTCTCCGATGGCTTCCGATTCCGAGAGACCTGAATCTCCTTCTTACGACGAGAGGCGCTCTAGTAACGATGAATGCACTCGTCCTAACGATATTGCCGGTCCTCATTATAAATCCACCTGCACTCTTCAGTCCCTTGAACGATTAAAGGGGCTCTGTCAAATTCCTCCTGAAATCATAGCGGAAGCACAAATAGCCGCCCCCACGGAATCTCCAGAGAGCCACCGTGTCGGCTACTTTTGTGTTTACGAAATTTACTTCAAGGGCTGCGGATTGACCTTCCCCCTTCCCGAAGCCCTAGTTCGATTCTTGGCGGCTCTCGAGATAGCCTTACCTCAATTAACCCCCAATCTCCTCCGAACCATCCTCGGGATCATAACCGTTGCGGCGGAAGCTGGTTACGTCATTGGAGTCCCCGAGCTAAATGAACTTCTAAGCGTAAGGAGTTCATCAAAGAAAATTGGGTACTTCTCGGCGTACCCAAATGCCAATAGAAACGTCATCTCGCACCTCCCGAACAAGGATGAGAACTGGCACCATCCTTGGTTTCTGATTAAGAAAACTCCCGCTTCGATTGGGAATCTTTCCGATATACTCCCATCGAAGTGGTCTGCGAAACCTGGTAGAGACTAGGTCGTATATTCCTTTATTGTTCATTATTATTTCTTTACTGACCAAATTCGTTATTTCATTTCGCAGCTCTCATCGCTTCAACTCTCCCGACCGAAGAATTTGTCAAGTTCTTCAAAACAATCCTTGAAGGGGAAACCCTTTGGAATTCTTTCACCCTCGACCGGTTTGTCGAGGCCAACCGGAAACTCAGGATGAGTCCTCCCAATCTACTCCATCGTCTTCCGCCTCCTCCCTCAACTCAGGGAATGTCAGCTCGGGCCCTTGCTGCCCAGCGTAAGAAACTCTCCAAGCCTATAGCAGAGGCTTGTGATGAAAACAAGGCGTTCCTTGCGGCCGCCATTGACAAGAAAGATTACAGCAGGACCCTGCTGGTTGATGACAACAGCTCCGAGGGAGCCAGATCCGTTGCTGCTTACAGGTTAACACCTCGTCACGAACGCCGTGACGAACGTTCTCCTCGGAGAGAGCGGTCTCCTCGTCGTGATTCCCCTCGTCCTCCCCGAGACGATTTCAGCAACGAACCACTTAAGAATTTGGTTCGTAAGAGGAGGGACACGTCATCCCGTGATGACTCGTCTCTGCGAAGGGAGAAATCAAGGGCCCGGACTGACCGTTCACCTCGATCATCCCCTCCTACTGAACCAATGGGTCCTCCCCGACCTGTTGATATGTCTTCTTCTTCCCAAGCCGTCAGCGAAAGGACTGCTCGGAGTGCATCCCCTAAAAGGGGAGATTCTGAATCTCGAGATGCCTCCTCGAGGTTGAAGCCTGCTCTTGTCCCTCAAGTCAAATCGCTTTCAGGTTTGGTGACTTATACATACTTAAACTTTTCGTCTCTATTAAAATTCCAATTTTTACAATCCTTCATTCTTCGCAGCTATGGAGAAAGAAGGCAATGTCCTCCGATGCTTCAAGACCCGATCGGGTTCGATCTTGCCAGACTTCAACAAATGGCGCCCTGCGATTCGTGAACGCTATTTGCTTCACGCTTATCATTCAACTCGGGTTAATTCCGTTTTTTTTTTTTTTTTTTTTTTTTTTTTTTTTTTTTTGCTGTCTTTTTTTAAACTGACTCGCCATCCCGGGTTTATAATGCCAGGCTCATAGCGAACTTAATGATATGGTTGAACATTACGAAGGGTTGGTCCTTGGACGGGAGAAGGAGATTGACATGTGGAAGAAGAAATTCTCAGCTCTTGAGGCTGAACTCAATTCTTCGGCTGGCTCCAAGCACGATCTGGAGGACAAGGTCGACAATTTAACATCCGAGCTGGCGCAGGTAAAGGGGGAGCTGAAAGACTACTACGACCGAAATTACCAACTCCAGGATGAGCTTTCTGGTGTTCAGGGTAGACTTCATGAATCCGAATCGTCTGCCGATACCCTGAACAACCAACTTATCGAGCTTGACGCGAAGTACAAGGCGCTAGCCAAGTTGCGTGATTCCGAGTTAGCAAGGTCGGCATCGAAGGCCAGAAAGGAGGTTAAGGGACGCGGGATGGAGTTGATCCAAGGGGCCATTCGCTTCATGCAAACTGAGAAGGCTAAGTCGGAATTGGAGTCAGACATCAAGGAGCATGAGAGCAACCTGATTCTGTTGGATCAATTCCATGAAGCAGACTTCTCCGAGGAGCAAGAAAGGACCGAATTGTCAACTAATCTTTCTGAAAAACGGAGTCGCTTGGCAGCTCTTCCCACTTCGACCTTCAACCCGCTTGACTTCGAGGAATTCTTTACTGAATCACCTCCTATAAGCGAGTCGGGTTTAGACTGGGCAGGTAATGCTTGGCTCTTGACTTTTACTACCTTTTCCTCACCTTATGTATGGGGCAAAAATACAAGTTGACTGGGTCTGTCTTTCCCAGGTTCAAGTGAGGCGGAGGATGTTGTCCCACCCGAAGTACCTGCGACACCGGCGGTCACTCCGGAGGAAGGTTGTAATGTAGAGGGCGGACCAAGAGCTCCATCCGACCAAGCACCAGCTAAAGAGGTAAATGAAACTTCGGTTGCTGAGCCGGGGTCCGAGGTGGATATTACTCCGTAGTGGCTGCGTCCACCTTAAATTGGGAATTGTCCCATTTATTTTAAAACTTAATTTCGAACTTGTCTTTGCCTAAGAAGGCTTTATAATTTCTTTTGAACAAGATATTTGCCTGAGGAGGCTTTTAAACCTTTTTAGGTTATGACCCAAGGGGGTTTGGTTAAAATTTATATGCGGGTTTGCAAAGTCCGCTTTTAACCTTTTGTGGCCTTGTGGCTATGCTTTCGAGATTTTTAGGCTGATCAGACCTTTCTCTTTAGAATGCGAGAGCTGAGCTCGGCTTAAAGCGAGTTCCCCACTTCGGGTTTAGTCAACTCGAAAAATTTATTGGGCTTGGGCCTTAGAAACTTTTGCAGTTAATGCGACGGTTGCTCTTTCCCTTCTTAAGGAAAACGGCTCGTCTTTTAATGCAATAACTGCCTTTTCTCGATTTTCCAAAAATGGTTTAAACCATTCGGACACGCTACCATTAATGGATTTATGGTTCCAAGACAAACCCTAAATCATTATAAATAAAGGCTTACCTACCTCTAAGCTTTATTTAAACATGACTTTAGAATCTTACTTGAGAAATTAGGCCTGGGCGTTCGGTTTACTCGGTTTAATCGGTTCGGTTTATTCGGTTTTTTGATTTTTCGGTTATCTAGAAAACCTGCCGAATTGAACCGAAATTTTATTCGGTTCGGTTCGTTCGGATCTCGGTTTATTCGGTTCGGTTCTCTGCTTAAAAATCTATTCCGAATTAAACCGATTTTTTTTCTATTTCGGTTTATTTAAACCGAATTAGCCCTAAATACAGATAATGGGCCCAAAAAAATCTGTAATCTAGTAACAAACCAATAAAAAAAACCAATTACAATTACAAAACCAAACTCATCACATAACTATGGATTAAAGCCCAAACCCATTACAATTAGGGTTTTCCATGAAGTGGCTGACGGCGAGGCTGCGAGGAGACGTCAATGGCAACGGCGACTGTTGGATCTCCTCGTCCGATGAGACTTCCGACAATATCTGGTCAAAATAGACAACAATACAACACTTCAATTCTATATTTCATACCTCTAAATCGTTATAGAAGGAATAGTAAGGATAAAACTCCGGTTCTTTTTCATTCTAAACTCCATGAGAAATCAAATAAACCAACCCCAAATCACATTGAAGAGAAAAACTCAAAAATTGATGATGGGTGAGACAACTTACTGTAATCTAGCGGACGAAGAAGTACAAGCTGGAAAAGATCAAGAGGTAGAACCGGCGAAGAGACGAGATGATATGATTATTCGATGTTTTGTTTCGAATTTTGAAGAGGAGAGAAAGAACTGGCGAGAGAGAGATGCACGGAGGTTGAAGAGAAGCAATCATATTTTTTTTATCTAGGGTTAAGCATAAAAAATGACTTTATGTCGTTTTGGGCTGAGTATAAAACATTATTGGGCCACATGTC